AGACGCACCAGGTGATCACCTCCTTCGCGCCCGCGCTACGGAGGTCTTTGGAGGGGGGGTGTGTTACGAACCCCTCCACCAATTGTCCTGATCTACCTACCCAGCACCACGAGCAACGCCATCTAGGGACGAGACACGAGTATGACTCGTCTTAGTTACCACTCCGGGGTTTCCCTTCTCCATATCCTGGTTGTTGCGTCACTTCCTCCAAGTCTTCTTTGTGAGCTCGATTCGAGGAGAGAGCACTACACTCTGGGAAGTGACCACAGGATCATCTATCCTCTAAACCTACGGCACAGTGACTACCTATCGTCTTCTACAATACTCAGCCTTACTCGTCAGCCATCTCAGCTCCTCACTTAAGTATTTGTAATCTTGTATTGCCTCTCCCACCTCCACCTTGCTTCACGATTGTTTTATGTTTTATTAATATGTATATACTGTTAATGTTTAGGTTAAGTTTGGTTAAGGGTAATTTATAAGCTGAATATTTTGTTAAGGGATTTATGGTACTTTATTATACACAACGAAAACTCGCATCCTTTGTCTACCCTTTTATAGTCCGATTGTCTTTGTTTTTTGTTGTTGTTACCTGTTGGGATCTGGGTAGACGTTTAACTATATTATAAATCCCCAACTCGTAACACTGTCTCTGTCGCCACTCATCCATTGCAATAGGTCTTTTGGGGGCATAGGGGTTTTGATGATGATGAGCGGTATGATGAGCTGGATGATGGCTGCACATGAATTGGTTTATGTGGTGAGGCAGGAGTGAAGGATGCAACCACACATCTTGGACTCTCCCTTTTCCTCATCCAGTGGCGCAAGTGTTGCAATGACTGGAGAGTTGCAATGGTCTGCTGATAGCCCAGTTTGTTGGGTTTCGCCTTAGTAGCCTGACCATCATGTATTGCCTTCGTCCACCGGTGTAGTCGTTGGGTTCCCATGGCGTTCACCTCTCTCGCCTATACCGCCGTTGAGGTGTTATTGGAGCTCTGGAAGCATGTCTGCCTGATGCTGAGCTCCACCACAGAGTTTTTGTTCGAGGTTTACTCTCGTAGCCTTATACTGTTAATCCGTAAATCAACTTGGCAATGGTTGGTAGGCACCAGAATATGTTCTCATGCCAGTGAGCCTATGCGCCATCCCTCTGGGGCCCACTGCTACTCCTTGATCCCCTGCTGGTCTAGCCTCTGCCCACGAGGCACCCAGTTACCTTGTGTTGCCACGAGGAGGCACAGCAGGAGTCTTGATGGTGAACACACACACACACACACACACACACACACACACACACACACACAGTTTATAAGAGATCACGAGAAGTTCTTTTGTCTTGAAGATGCTTAGGTCATCTAAGTGGACACTATCTGGGTGATACTATGCTGGGTCACATGGTTTGGTCACACGGAGGGTTGGTTCAGTAAGTGAGGGATGTTTATGCTTCGTTATTACAATACTCTTGTCTCTAAGGTGGGAGTTTTCTTTTGTCGGCACCTGGGAAAGCTGGGCTGTCAGGACACTTGGGCGTGCTCAATATGGCTGCTAGAGTACAGTACAGGGTTGTTATAGCTTGATGCTTGTTGTATGATGTGGTCTTTGTCACTTGTTATAATTGTCAATCTCTTTCTAGATAATGTACAATACAATACACTGTGCTCTTTGTAATTGGGAAAATTCTGGTGAGCTTTCTTTAACACGAGAACACTTGAAGACTTAAATGCTTGGTTGGTCACTAAGCTAAATACCACTAGAAATGTTACTAAAAAATGTGTTCTTGGTTCAGATTGCCCGGATTTCACAGTTAAAGACACTTTGCAGCTTTCTTCTATATATTATTATAAAAATATAGGTCACATAATGTATTAGTTTATAGCAAGCTAATGAGCACTTAGCAATTTGTCTGTTTTATCATAGAGAGGGAGGAGGACAGCTTGGAGTATCAGAGACTCCTTGGTGACACGTGTAAGTGTGTTGTCATGTCTAACTATCGACTGACAGCAGCTGATAACAAATGTTATGTCAGCTAGATTATGAAGCCGAGAGGCCAATTGAAAGTTACTTGAGTGTGGCGTGATATGAAAGTAATTAATACTGCTCAAATGTTAATGAGCCCGGGTGATGTAATAAATATAATGCTAGGTGTAAATAGCAAACATTTATAAAATATTTTCTGCCCATATATTTGACAGAGGCTGTTACAGCTTAGATTAAGTTAGATTTGGTAAGTTTAGGTCAGGTTAGTGTAACTTGTTTAGAGAAACCTTGGCCTGTTCAGGTCAGGGTTAGTTTGATTTAATTTATGTCAGGTAAGGTTTGTGTTTGTTTAAATTGGGTTAGGCTAGGTTTAACTTGGCTAGTTTGGTCAGTTTAGGTTAATGTTACTTAGTTTAGATTACGTTAGGGTAGTTGGGGTTAGATCACCTCACGTTAGTCAAAAGTTATAGTTGGGTGGGTAAGCTTATATTCAGTTTGTTTATCTTACGTCTAGGTAGATTAACTGCAGATTGAATTAGAATAGTCTAGGTTACGTTATTATTAGGTTAGACTACCTTATCTTGGTAAGTTAGGGCAAGGAAGGTTAGGACAAGTTAAATTAGGTTAAATTAGGATTAGTTTGTTTTGGTTTGGTCAGGATACCTAAATTCGTTTAGGTTTGGATAGTCTTGATTAGATATGTTAAGTTTATTCAGGTTAGGTTAGTTTTACCTAGTTAGATTTAGCAGGGTTAGTTTAAGTTAGGTTTAGTTGGATTATTTTACGTTGGGGTAAGTTTGTTTTGAGTAATTTAGGAGAGTTTAGGTTAGGTTAGTTAAAGTTAGGTTAATTTAATCTTAGGTCAGGGTAGATTTAGTTGGGTTTGTTTTAAGTTAAGTCTGCCTAGTTCAGGTTAGGTTAAAATAAATTAAAGTAGCTTAGGATAGTTTAAGTTAAGATTAAGTTTAGGCTAGGTTAGGTTAAGTGGGTTCTGGCTAGTCTAGGTTAGGTTTGTGTGAATCAGTTTAGATTATTTTTGGTTAATCTATTTTAGTTTGAATTAGGTTAGAATGGGTTAGTTTATATTATGTTAGGTTTGGTTAAGTTGGATTGATTCAAATTAGATTAGGTTAAGAAGGGCTAGATAAATTAGGTTAGGTTATCTTAGGTTACGGTGAGTGAGGTCAAAGCTGGTAATTCGGTGTTTTCTTCCGTCTCCAGGCAGGAATCGCGCGCTCGAGGGGATGTTGTGGTGGCGGAGTTGGCCCCTCACGTCCAGGAGACCTCTGAACCCGCCCTCGTCCCTCACACCGACCCCCACCACAATGCATCCATGTCACCCCTCCTCCAAGTATGTATGCCTCAGGTCGTGTAGGTGAGTGTCAAGACCTCCAGGTTAATAAGTCTCAGTTAATTATTCCTAAAATATGCATTGACAAGTGTTTGTTGTGTCCTCACAGATTAAAGTTTTCCTCATATGTGTATCCCAGGCCTGGGAGTTTACTGCCAATCAGCGGCCTATCGAGTTTTCGTTGACAAATTAGTCATTATTTATCAGTGCAAACCATGTGTGAAGGCTTACCCTGTATGTTTCTGACAATGGTGAAGATACGAGTTTTCTAAGATGTAAATAGCGTAAAAAGAATAACTGGGAGTTTTATCACGACCTTACACAAAATGAACTAACTAAACTCAAATAGCCCTTCCGTAAATCATTACATGGTTCAAGCGGCTAAATTTTATTTGTTCTCCCAGTCATACGTCTAAACGTTTAAATTCTGAAGTTTCCAGGTTTTGAGACTAGACCTCCCGACAAGAGACCTGTTCCTGGACCCCGTGAAGTGGCTTTCATGTGGCTATTTTCACTACCTGCTCAGTTTTAGGTTTGATGGTGCTAGTGGTGTGTGCTACAGTTGTGGTTGTGCAAAGATCCAAGGGGGGGGGGGGAGTGCTGGTGATAGTGGTGTGTCCTTACAGGTGTATCATCACAGGTGTGTGCGGCTCTCGGGGTGCTGGTGGTGGTGATGGTGGTGCTGTTTCACTCTCACCACTTCCGGCGGGACTGTATGACTGAACGACGAGCCTTGAGACGTGTTGCTCGTCGCTACCACGTCACACGTGCCCAGGACGACGTGGAGAAAAATGACTCCTCCGAGGTGACGGATGTGACGCTGTGATGTAACGGATGTGACGCTGCGATGTGATGGATGTAATGATGTTTTGACTTACGTGACGGACTTTATATTATGCAGTGACAAACATAACTGATGTAATAAACATAACGCCGTAATGTGACGTGACGCTGTAATGTGACGGAGTTGATAATGGGATTTTGTGAGCGAAACTGTAATCTGTCAGACGTGGTGCAGTGACTGACGTGACGGATATAACACGATAATGAGACAGATGTTATGATACCATGTGATGTAGATTACGCTAAGATGTGATGACCTGACTGTGATGTGCTGTGAGGGACGTAATGCTGTGATGTGTCGGATATAATTCTAATATGACATATTTGGTTCTATAAAGTGACAGATATGACGTTGTGATTTGATGAATATGATTTGCTAGGCATGATGATGTGATATTTCGGACATGATGTTTTCCTATGACACAGCGCTCTCAGGTCACACAGTGATGGTATAAAGAACTTCATAATGCTTGATGTTGAGTGTGACGCTGTGAAGGATATTGATATAACAGTCATGATGCACTCTAACATACATTACTTCCTCACCTGGATCAATTGTGACGGATGACACGTTGCTGTGACAGACACGACACTGTCACACCACTGATGTGATGTTTAATTTTAAAAACAAAGTAATCCCAATTTAACATGGATATGAAACTAATATAACAAAGTTGTAGCACTAGCATAATGTTTATAACCCTTTAACAGTACACTAACGGAAAGGCCGATGTAATGCTTATAAGGCGCAATTATAACGTTGATGATAAACTAATAGAGAAATATGGTTACCCTATTAAATTGTGGAGACCTTACTTATTCTGTGGAATTTCCTCAATAACTTTTAATGATAACTGCCAAGGCATATATTATCTGGTGATGTTGATTCAGTCATGTTTTAAGGTCAACTGCATACTGTACATTATGCGATGGTTAAGCATGTGCACGAGCCTTTCCAATGAGTCTAGAGATAGTGTATATATTAAGAACACTGAGGCTAAATGAGAAGTCGTAGGTGTCCAGCTGTCAGTTGTTTCTGCTATGGCAGCCACTGTCTGAACCTCTGCTGGTTCACAGTCAATTACTCCTCTGTTTCCTGGTTACTGTGAAAGTACTGGGGAATGATTCGGTTGTCTTCCATATCTGTAATTAAAATACCTCTTTGTTTATTTTTATATGATTGAAAACATCTATTTTCACCTTTTGTGCACAAAAAAGATTGTTTACTATAGTGATAATTATTTTGGTATCGGCAAATGTAAAAATACTGCAGCTACTTTCCACCATCACCAGGTGGTTAACTCCTCTTGTTAGGGCTCCTGAACCACGTGTAAAACATAATTAACAACAGCACCTGGAAGCTCGGCTGAAACACCAACAGCAGTGGCAGCAGTGAGATAAGATAAACCAGTGTCTGAAATTTATGTGACTTATATAGAGTCTGATTTAATGTTCTTTGCCAGTTGATTGTTAACGTATTTGCAGATTTTTAAACTTAATTATATTTTGGACGATTACAGATTTAGTGGGCTTAACAACAGGAAGGGAAAATGGTTTTCATTTTACTTCAGCTATTGAACAATCAAAATTTATAATAAATTTTACCTGAAAAGCATTTTTGTTTCACAGTAAGAAACATGCATTAATGGTATTTACCAGCATAGCTATTCAACCAATAATTCATTAAACTTCTCTGCATGCCTGAGCAGTTGTTAAGTGTTGTCAGTGAAAAGACGAGTATTTTATAAGTCTGATGTTACATATATTAATAACTAATAAATCCCTCTGTATGTCTGGGCACCTGTTTTAATTTTTTCAGTGTTACTATTCCAGCAGAGCAACTGTACCTGTAGTTGTGGCAACACGAACTACCAGTTATTCATACGTAGATGAGACCCTGAACGGGATAATGGAGGAAATAGCTATTTTAACTTCTGTTGCCACCACACACTCAATAAGTGTTCCCAAATAATTACCATTAAAATAATCAGTATATGGGAAACAGAGAGGTGAGTAGATGAGTTTATCAAAATTTGTATGTGATTATATTTCAGCCCGTATTGATATGTGCTTTATTTATATCATGAGGTACTTTACTAACAAAAAAAGGAAGCAAACTCATTATTCCCGAGTGCTCTCACCTCAACTCCTGTATTGCTGACTGTGAACACACCAGGAGTTCAGGCAGGGGCTGCCCCTGGCAGAACAAGACTTGCTGAAGCTGAACTCCCACTACTATTCATCTTAGGCACTAGAGCTCTTATAATTATATTCATCGATAAACTTAATGGCAAGCCTTACCGTACGATGCCGTACATATGCTTAACCATTGCACGATGCACAGTATGTAGGCCTAACTGACATGACGCTAAGACTTAGGTCAACAATATCACCAGGCTTTACTAAGTATACAAGACATGCCTTGGCAGTAAATAGTTCTGTGATCATTACAAGCTATGGAAGTTGTGCTAAAGCATACACCATCATCTCATACATTGGTCTGACACTAATATTGTACAATGTTGTAAAAGTAATGAGATGCGAATGTAAAACTAGTTTTACACTTGAGTGCAGTAACACTTGCGTTCATGAGACAGTAACATGACTCCATGTGTGAAATGATCCAACATGATAGGAAACCGGTGTTATAATACAGCAGCTGTGCAAAAAAAGGTACCCTGAATTTCTCTGTGGTTTGTGAAAAATGTCGGAAAAATGTAGATGGACGTACAAAAGCCTGTCAGATCTCTAGATATAGCACACCAACATTGTCATACCGTGAAAAAAGTGTACGTATCGACTAGGTCCATACAGTTCACTTGCACACCTTTAACTTCCTTGTATTTCATCCAATAGCTTCCAAAATTGGTTTGAATGTTGCCAATAAGTCGGAAAATAAGTGACTAGCATTTCATAAGAATCCCAATGATGGTTAGGAAGTTAATCAATGCCCAATCTCAGTTACGGCAATGAAAAGTCACCAAATTTGACGCAGGAGTCTCTTAAGTTGTTTAGGCCCTAAAGCAAGAAGTAGAGCATCAAGTAGGAGTCTTCTACCTTGTATTAGTGCATAGGTAATTGAAATAGAATAATTATGATCTTTGAATTATCTCATTATTTTTATTAGTTTATGAGAAAATTCACGAATGGTATTATGTATAACATGTATTATGTATTATTATAAAATTGTATTAGCGTTTTTCCGGGGTCATGAGTTAGAGACATTTGCTTGTGGTGCACATGCATTTTAATGTGAGTGGCTCTATAACCAGATTAATAATCTGTATGGTGGGTTTATTGCTTGGAGTGGAATTACTGAGATATTTGAAACAGGCGGTGACTACAAAAGATGCTGAGAGCAGTATTGTTGCAATTGAGAGCTTCACGAAGGAATCACAAAAACTCAGACACGATTTCAATCAGTTTGCAGAGATGGGGTATAAATAGAATGAATCATTCAGATTCTGGCATACTTTCATCAAGACGAGCTAACTGCTACAATATTTGATTCGTAGTGACAGGGAGGGAAACTGGAAGCTGCATCTGGCAGCACTACAAGCTTTTATACCCCTCTTTACAGCTATTTATGCAACAAACTTCTTAGATGGGCCTCGGTGTATCAAGAAGATATACGTCAGCTTCCAACAACAGCTCCTGAGTTACATCAAACTCTATTTAGGGTAACCATGTGAAACGAACTCCTGGTGACTTCAAGGCAGTGAAAATGGATATGTCTCGAAAAGACTATTACTAGATCACAGAAGAGCATAGCAGGAATCATTGGCAGCACTCGGAAGAAAAATTTGTCACAAAATGGGAGTATTGATCTATCACGAAATGATGGCAGTCACTGACTTACACAGGTTACTTAGTAGTATAAACACAAGCAAATGAACAAATTGCGAATCGTGAGCTCACTAATAGTGAAACAAAGGCAGGAGACAAACGAGTGCAGTCAATGTTATAATATATCAAAGACCATTAGAACCCCTTTGATCCATCTCCCACTGACAGTCTGCTACGAAATATACTGACACAGGAAGTTGTGCCTGATCACAGACATGGGGTAATTGTAATCGATTACAATCGATTACAGTTTTTGAAGTAATCATAATCGATTACATTCTTATTTTGGTAAAGCAATCGTAATCATAATCGATTGCATTCAAAATGTAATCATAATGGATTGCATTCAAAATGTAATCATAATCGATTGTATTCAAAATGTAATCGTAATCACGATTATTTTTACGATTACACTAGTAAGTACATACCGGTACTTCATTTCTTTTTCTTACAATACAGAGCTCATGATTTCTGATACAGTCATCTACAGTATATTCCTTCCTTTATATGAGTCGGCAAACATTCACCATCAACATTATGTCTGTAATACTCTAGCTGCTAGTAACAAAATATCGAGTCCGTAAGATTTAAACATTCGTGCTGGTAACCATTGATTTACGTCTATGCAAACACAGTGTGTGCTAGCACGCAGACTTAGGCTAATCATTTTATCACTTGAGTGGCGCTTCAGCAACGTTACAGTGTGAATTTGTTTATTCTTATGAGATTAAACCAGACTTTGTAAGTTTAAACTATACTCGACCTGGATGTGTCGTCAACCGTCTCAAGGAGAACCACCCAAACAAAGATGATGCCATATACCACACATTTAATTTTACCAGAGCACTATATTACAATCCTCTTAAAGTATTTGTGTTTGTAATATTCCAAAACGTCAGAACACTTAAGAGTTATTTAGGTCAGATACACTTCTGTATTCGTAATTTTCATATTAATCTTATGAAAATTTAGATCCATCTATTAAAGATTTTGATTTTGCTTTGTTTATTAATTGCCCGCACCGTTATCTATAATACATTATGTGCACCTTTTTCATCTCTTAGAAAATATGATTTAATTGTACCAGGTTGACAAACAGTACAGTAAATTGAGTTTTTGTAGTATGTTCGTTTATTTATGCACATTCCTCATATGTAAAGTAAATACTGTGAGAGTGCAATAGTTCCTGAATTGGAAAAATCATCATTGAGCATGTATGACTACAAATTTACTGTAGATACAGGAAACCATGTAGCTACATGCATTGTTGATACAATGGCCTGTGTACATTAAGTGAAATTCAGAAACATTCACACATTTGGTGATTTATCGCTCAAATGTTATCTAGTTGATACAATCTCATGCACTTCAAAGAGATGACACGAACTGTACAGCAAAGGCAGTTTGCTAAGGAGATTGTGGTCGGTTTTATCCCAGTTGAAGATGTACTCCCAAGTGTCCTTTTTCCAATAGAGTAGCTCACGCTGTTCCTGAACTGGATGATCATCAAGAAAGCAGATATTTTAATTCTAATTCATGCAATACATGTAGTTAACGCTAGGGCATCAAAATTGCTCATCTTATCCCTTGATGTTGATGTGTTTGTCATTATGCTGCACCACTTCCCCAATTTGCAACTTCCGGCTTGTGTGAACTATGGAGCAGAGTTGGAACAGGTAAAATCTATGCGCCACATTCCTGTACATATATTAATAGCAAAGCTGGGCAACGAAATGTGTGAATTAATTCCTGCTATCCAAGCTTTAACAGGATGTGATTACAGAAGCAAATGTGGAACAAAACATGAAGCACTTACAGCTAAGCCTGATCAGTATCTATCTGAATTTGGTTAAGCCTGTAACGAGAAGAATTATATCGCCAGGTAAAACTGGTCGAAATGATTAGGAAGGATTCTAAATGCAAATCAATGAATGAGCTCAGGTCTTCAGTGTATCATTATAGCAAAAGAGCACCCTTATCGCAGTTACCACCAACTAGCTCCTTATTAAAGTGACACATCTTAATAAGTTTCTATGTCACTCATATGATTCGAACACTGACCAGTAAAAATGCCCTGAAGCTTGAACCCAAAGTGTGAGTAAACATGCTTTAACCACTGGAGTAATATAGGATGTAGGAGGAAAAGTATACTATCCTGACACACTGGGGTTTAGTGGGTAGGGAGAATGAACAGATCCGTACTGAGGTGTGGTATCGTATGTACGACCTGACCTAAGTTGGGTACGGTGTAAATCTCCAAATTATTGATCGAGTAATTGTTCACTATCCTCAAAGGAAGTGCTTTGCTGTACAGTACATAAATTTATGTTCCATGCATATCTTCCCTAATACCAGTAACAATGCTAGCTCCGATAGGGAGAACTGCGCCAGTTAGTATTGTGTTTTCTGTTTGTTCAGAGGTACTATTGCAATTTTTCCGCTGAATGCGTAATGTCTGAACCAGATAAATGAATAAAAGATCCATAAATGATAATTCAATCATACAAGATTATACTAAATAATAATCTTGCCCATCCATTTACAGTAAATGAATTAAATTATGAGTAAATGAGTAAAGGAAAATACTCAACTTATAATACGTCAGTAATATATAAAGTAAGGCACTTACGCATTTATAAATTAAAAACTGTCCCATCACGCCGTCTGACGGGTGATGGTATGCTGTAGAATATGTTTAATGTGTGTATAAATCTACTGCATGACTGTGAATACCTAGTACGAAGACTTGATTGAAGTATGGAGACTTTGGTTGAAGTTCTTGTCATTAAAAGTCCGAAGAGTTCTGCGGAGGATAGCGTGTCAGCTGGTGAGAAGTATATCACGGGCACTCCCTATGTATAGAAGAGAAATCCAAGATGGCATCCTGCTATGACATTGGCATGACGTTTTTTGTATGGCGTCAATGACGTAGTAGTTGCCAGGGGCTGGGTACTATGATGAGCCAAGAGATGTCGAAGACAGCTGTCCGTTGTAACCTGGGTGCACTTGGTTACACGGAAGGGTCACACAGTGGGTCAAACGACGGGTCACATGGTGGGTCACACGATGGGTCACACAGTGGGTCACTGGAAGCAGCAACCGAGTGTTGACCATAAGTCGAGAGAGCCAGACGTTGACCAATCAAAACAACACGTGGGCTGAAGACTAGGGTAGGCTCTCCTTGGGGGGCCTGAGGCTGGGGTGCTGGTTGATGCTGGGGTGCTTATTGGTGCTGGGGTGCTTCTGCTCGCAGGGAGAGAAGGCTTGTTGATGTTGTTATGCTTAGTAGCTGAATACAGCCGTGGGAGCATCTTGAATGAAGTGTTGCAGAGACGTTCAGGTTGTGGTAATGATTGTATGTACAGTGTTGCCATGTTTGAAGTGATCAAATGTGTTAAATCACTTACAAAAACAACGATAGAAACTTGTACGTTGAACTAGGACATCACAAGTGTTTAACTAAAATGTAACGCCTCTCAGAAAGTTGGTATATTATGTGCAAAAATGGAGAATGTCAAACTTAAACCAAAAATTGTTAGTTTTTGCATAAAACTCTGGTTTTTGTTCAGAGATTCGTAAGACCGATGCCACCTTATGCTGTGGTTTCCGGTTACCTATTGAAATCATTAATTAGAGGTGAACTGGAAGCAACATTCATGAATGTTTATGTGTTAAGCTTTCAAACCCAAATGGTCTTTTCTCCATTTATTAAAAAAAATAAACCATTGCACAATAACGGGGATATCACCTTAATTAACGTTATGAGCTGTGAGCGTTAATCAGGAACGAAGCTTGGGTATAACTAGCTTCTTAAAGCACACATCTCAGTGGCTCAGAGACGGGAGCTGAACTGGCGATAGCCAGCTACTTAATAGATTATTCTGCAGTCAAGGTGTGAGGGCAGTGGGAATACACTGTTGATGACTACTCACATCTCATAGGAAAGTTACCATGAGTGATGTAGTTATATAAACTTAATGTAGTGTAGCTCACATTTATATAAATATTAGACAAGGGCTAATACAGCCCTTCATGTTAAGAACTTTACTACTAATAGTCCCATACTCCTTCCTTGATACCGTTCTTGATTTGTGTGGACATTTTATTGGTGCATCTCTGCCTCAACAGATGTCCTTTACGCTAACACAAGTTTAAAATGATTTAGTTAATGAAATAAAAAGATGCCAAACAGTATGAAACTCACTTGCCTTGTTTCACCCCGCATCAAAAATCAGAGGTATAAAACATTGTTATCCACATTATCACAAATTTACTCTCGTTCACACATTTCTTTCTTATTTGCGAAAAAAATAACCAAAGAACAAACCACAAAGAAATCATGCTCTTATCTTTTACTCATAAATGCTAATTACCTTAGAGCTAAGATTGCATGATTGCTTGTTCTGAACTCTCTTAATTCTACACCTTGTGAGTGATTGTTCGATCCATGGAAATTTCCCATGTCTTAGAAAACTACTGAAAAGATTTTGGTAAATTTGTAGTCAGGTTAAAGTAAAACATTTTCTCTTAAATTGTACCTGAGTTTAAGAAAAAGCTGCTCAAAATATAAGTGCTTTCTAAAAAGCAGATCATAATTTACACCATTAGCTAAAACACCCGAAAAACAACTGAATGATGGATTGCTTGACATCAGAATTTATTATAAGGGTGACCAAAAACCGGTCACAGGCTGCGGTAAAGAAAAAGGAAATAGTCCTACGCGGAAAAACTTACATTAGTCAGGTCAGGAAGGTGCAGAAATACAAGCTAGCTCTTATGTTTATATGGTCATATTAACAACTTTGGGGGTGTACTCGGATGGAAGTTCATGAAGCATAGAAAATAGACAAAACTACCTAATATTTCACGTGGTTAGAAGAACGCAGATACGAAAAACAAATCCATTATTATTAGAATTCAATTTCATAAGTTTTCTTTCTCACCCAAGAAATTAGGATTGTAAAAGAAAATAATTACATATTCCTCCAGAAAAGGGAGTTTTGAGTAACTTCAGATAATGCTCTTCGTCTGGGACTTCACTTGTCCAATTCACTGAGACAATCTGTGAACCACTACCTGTCATCGATGTTGAGTGCGATTTTTCAAGTTTTCTCTTTCTCCTGCTAGACCTTTTGCCAGGGACGAAACGCTAAAATTGTTTAATGGCTTAATGTCTTCACGCATCGGAGCTGAAGCTCCTTGGCCAGAACCTCGCGAAGCATACTCTTGCAGTGTTCATTTTGAAATTCATTGGACCCCTCTGCTACGATATTTTTTGGAGTGTGTGTTGCATGAAACAAACGCAGAATCAGCGTCAAGAACTTCTCGAAAAGTCACTGCTCGAATGTGATCTACAATTGATTTCTTCTCAGAATATGTTCAGCAAGTTAAAAGCCAATATCATACATAAAAATATTAGAAATTTATACAAAAATTGTTCTATCATTCAAAGATTAGATTGAACAGAGAAGGAAGGCAATCATTGTTTGGCGTGGTGTACACTATCAATCATTTGACGGTGTTGTTGATAATGATACTGGTCGAGGTAAATAGATTGATCCTATAAGTTCACATGGGTTGAAATTACACTTACCTCCACATGAACGTACCACAGCCTGGGAATGTATGAGGGTTAGAGTATTAAAAGTGGCATCGCAGAGTTGTAATCAGGGCTGAACAAATGGGCGTGAAACAGCGAGATTTCCCTGTTTATGATAAGATACAAACAATAAATGAGGTAAACAGATAAACGAACCTTGTAATGCGTGTTATGCAGCATTGTTGTTTAACCACGACCGAGTGAATAGGATTGAAGCAACAGGAACCGGCAAACAGGGTAATCTACGGTTTCACGCTCATGACTACTGTACAGTGCTGCCCTGCCACGTCTTGAAAATGTACCCCCCCCCCCCCACACACACATGTAGGCCGTGGTAGTTCATGTGGAAGCAACTGTACATAGACAGTGTGTAATGATCACGGTCGTGCATGTTAGTTTACGTAAAATCAGACGATTCATATTACTCTCAATAGCCCACAAAACACGTAGCTATGTATAACGACACAAAATTTGAAATTGCAACTGGGGTGTTAAATGTTGAGGCAGCTTAGATATGTCTGATTACAGTTGGAACATTCAAGATCCATTGTGAGTGATGTTGAAAGCTTCAGCTGTCTTTATTGTTGGAAAAACTTGTCAAGTAAGTGAGTGTCAAGTCTGTCAGTATGAGTGGCATATCCTTATATCGTCCTTGGGGATAGCTATGAGTTTCCAAGTGCTACTGACGTTAGATTACTTTGATGCCTAAACATCAGAGAATCTGATGTTTGTAGTTTAGTTAGTGTCAGTTGTCTATTTAAGACAGTCATTAATCTCCTGAAAAGACTCTGTCAACCTCAAAATCTCCAAGACCTGACGGCTCCCCAGGAAGAATTCCTCGGCTGTGGTTTGCGGTTTTCCGGAAAGTAGAGTTGTTAGTGTGTGTTTAACGTCCATTTCACCTTTTCTTGACAAACTCAATCTCTGATTAGATTATAAAAATAGATATGAGAAATTCACCTGACCCGTGACACTGATTTTCATAGTTGAATGCACAGCGACCGAGTTAAATAGAATTTCTGTCATTGGTGAGATTAGCCTTTCTGGTATGTATGCATAGGCCGGAACTGCCCGAGGCTCACATATAAGCGAATGCACGAGGAAGACTCACACGCTCGTGACTCTTCCTCAATGCATCTCCAGGTATGTGAACGATTGTTTCCCGCCGCCATGTTAAGTCAGTTTAACTCAGTCGATTTTGTGGATATCAGTGTTCATGTTTTAATATAGTGATATTATCATGTGCCAAATAATTCAAGTAAAGTAAGTGTCGTTTACATTGCTGCCAGACGTATAGTTATGAGTATTTGAGTTAGACATTTACACGCTCGTGACTCTTCCTCAACGCATCTCCAGGCACTGTCT